TGACCATGGGTGGCTACACTGGGAAGCTGTGTGTCATGACCAAGGTCCTCTGCCTGAGTCCCGAAATCAATGCAGTGTCCCTGGAGATGTCCAGCTCTCAGATTCATTATCCCTGGTCCTATAACCTTGTAGGCACCCAGCAAATGGAATCCTTCCTGCAGGCCCTTGTGGTGGTCTTACTAGGCTTCAGATCTTTGTTGCATCACCTACTGGAGAAGATTTTAAATCTTTCCCAACTTCCACCATCACAGCAATTTGTTTGTCCATGGCTTACCTGGTTCATGAAAAACAACCATGGCTGTGAAGATCAGGGGAAAATAGAATCATCTACACAGATGCTGAAGTCTGTGAGGGCGTGTTGTAAAAGAAAGCACTACTTCACACTGAAAAGGTTCATGGTATGAAGGAAACCTTAAAACTTGAGAGAGACCTGAGTCTGAATCAAATAATAATCAAAATATAATCAAATAATGAATCAAAATAATCAAATAATAATTGTGGGAGGCCATTAACTGGTATCCATTTTATAATAGTGTCAGCCGTTTTCTTAAGTTTCTATTCCCCTGCTGAGTTAAGTTTCTGCTCCTTCCCGCCTTGCCCATTCCCCATGAATCACATGCTATGCCCCAGGGGTGGCACCTTCCCCCATTGCCTATATACCTGCTACCTCAAGAGCCAAAACTTGGGGAGAAGACACTCTCTCAGGCTTTCACAGAGAGCACATTGGCCAAGCATTGACTGTGACTCATCCACATGGCTGACACTGACAAAGGTTCTACAATCTGAGGTACAGGATCTCAGGATAAATCCTGAGGGCATTTCACTGACCTTCTCAGACCAAAAAGCTACAACTCCTGTTGCACAGGTCCTGCTTTACCTTGGTCTTAACCATCCAGTAGAAAAGTATGAAGACGAAATATAGGAAGTAAAGCCATGTTGTTATGTTGAGCTGTGGGGGACTCAGGTCAATAATTTCTGACATTGCCAGTTAAACAGAAGACCCAATGCTATTATGGGCTACTGGACTCTTTTAGAATATTTTGCTGAGTTTACACACCTATAATATTCAACAACGGAACTTAAAAAATTGGGGTATAACTATGAATGTCCATTTTGTATCTGTGTATTCAAAGTGGTTGGGATAGATATATAGTTGCATTCTCTTAATGAATAGAATGATTTTTTCTAATGGTGTTTGTAAGTAGGATCACAAGTCCGCATCTTGTACAGCAATTAACCACTAAGAAGAATATATGCAGTGTATTATTTGTTGAAACTGTACTTTTGATTTGATTTGAAACTGTCTCATTGCTATATGTTTATCAATAAAACTTTGAAAAGAAAAAAAAAAGAGCCAAAACTTCCTGTCATAGCCCGGTTGCCTAGTTACTTGCGCTTTTTACCCGCTGACATCATGTCCCTATGCCTCCCCTATATATACCCAGCACCTCCAATGAATAAACGAGACTTGATCAGAATCCTGTCTTGTCTCCATTCTTTGTGTCTCCTGTCTTTTGTCCCCTCTTCAATTCCCCGCTCCTCCCCCAGGTGACCTTCGTTGACTGACCCGCTGGTTTGGGACAATAATCTATGTGACAGACACCTGAAAGTCTCCCTTTCAAAGAGGTTATTCATCCAAAGATGTTGCTGTGCTTGTCAGTACTGCAAGTAAAGTGGACATGAATAGCACAATAATGACATAGAGCAAATAGCTCACTTGAATCATGAAAAATGGTCTGACCAAAAATGTTTATGTTACTTATTTATTTGGTACCAGGGATAAGGCCCATGCTTCTATTAAGTTATAGATTTGGATGTCAGTGTAGTCACTGAGTAGTTGAAAGGAAGGTCATTATGTGCACCATATGGAGAGACAGGGCAATTTTGTATCAGGCGCAGAGGCTTCCCAGTTACCAATGCAACACATAGTTTAGTAAGGAGGTATAATTCTTATTGAGTCCCATGACTTCAGCTGAATGACATCTCAGGTTGTAGCCCTGGAATCTCACAAGCTCCTGCTTGAGCGCCCCTTCCAGCCATGGGGAGGATATTCTCACCAGTGTGCTGTAATGAGAAAACTCGATATCTTGGCTGGAGGTGATGACAGTCTTTTTGCCATTTGACCAACTTGTTCATTACATGCAGCACTACGTATCTCAATTAATAGGGCTAGAGTAAAGGTCAGGAAAAGATGGAGGAAAGGGGCTTCCTTTCCTTGGAGAGTTCAGCTTGATTGCCTTCTGCAATCCTTGATCTAAAGTGGAAAGGCAACTACTCATGGTGATAAAATATTTGAAGATATATTTTTGTCACTATACCTCAACAAAAGCACATTATTAAATTGTTTTTGTTTGTTTGTTTGTTTTTTTGCGGAACCAGGGATTGAACTCAGGCCCTTGCACCTGCCAGGGAAGCACTTATTCCACTGAGCCATCTCCCCAGCCCCCAAAAGAATCAATTGTGACGCCTTTTTTTTTCAGAACCAGAGATTGAACTCAGATCCTTGCGTTTGCCAGTGAAGCACTTATCCTACTGAGCCATCTCCCCAGCCCCCCAAAAGCACATTATTGCAGCACTGACATTTAAGCAATGTGTACATAAAAACATTAAAACTTTCTCAATGTAACGAAGAGATATCCTTTCGTACACCTCTATTTTGAAAGGATGCAATGTGTGGAAACGATGGCACTTTGCTTCAATTTTCTCTTCCTAGTACTAGAGATTGAACACACAGCCTGGACTCATATGCTTCACAGAGCTTCAAATTCTGACCTTTTTAAAACTTGTTTTTATAGTCACAGGTTTGGTACATTGCCCAAGTTGGACTCAAACTTGCAATTCTATGCAGGCATTTATTCCAGTAAGTGTAATTGTAAGCATGAGCTTCCTGACCCTGATTTTTCATCCATTTTAGAGGCATTGATGAATCATAGTGGCTTTTGATTCATGAAATGAGAAGATTGAGGTTCTTCTTTAGCCTTTTCAGAAAATTACAGGGATACATTGGGTGAACGCTATTGCAAATCAAAAATCTGTATTTATGTGATGTAGCTGATGACTTATATCTTCACAAACATGATTTGTCTGTTCATAATTATTACACTCATGTGATAATCATAGTGTACCTGAGTATTTGTGGTGAGAGAAGCTTTATCATTTGATGTTTCAAAATGTAAAATGGCCATTGACATGTTCTACACATTTTTATATTTCTCAAATAAATCATTTTTGAAATATGTAAGCAAGAGGACTTTTTTTTT